TATATATATATATATATATATATATATATATATATTGTTTTAAATGTTGTAAAATTTTCATAGAGTTTGTGGCAGTATTGCAATTTTACTGTTTCTGCTGTCTTGTCCTTTTCTGGTTTTAGCCAGATGAACTTGTACACTACAGTAAGTACAGATGGACAAAATAAAAAATAAACAAACAAAGCTTTTGTTTAAAAGGTTGCTGTATTTTCAGTGAATTTGATGTAAGTACATTGCATTTGATGTGCATTTACATTTTGGAGTTGAAAAGGTTTTATAGAGTTTGTGGCAAAATTTGATTTTAAATTCAGTTTTAATTTTCCTTTATGTTATTAATTTTATATATATATTTTTTAATATTTGCAGTATTACTTTTTATTATATTATATTTTATTTTTAAATTAAGTTGGCAGTGTGTTAAAAGACATTACTCAATTTGTTTGAGTTTGGTTTACTTAATGTGTTTAAGGCAATCAATTGCCACAAAGTGTTTAAGTTTTGAGCCACATGATTTTGAGTTTAGAGAAAATAAAGTGTTGGAGTTAGGTGTAATAAACTAAATTTTTTAAAGTTTTGTTAACTTAATACCGTGGGATAAGTACAATGGCCGAGAAGTGCAATACAAATCACAATTCTGAAAACAAAATAACAAATTACAAACGCAAATCTACAAAACAAAATAACAATTCAGAAAACACAACAACAATTCTGAAAACAAAATACCAAGTCAGAAAACACAACGACAAATCCAAGTATAGGTCCCTGCGGAACAAAAAGGGGGCGTTTCTCAATCGTTCGGTGTCATTTTCATCCCATCTAAATTATTATGCCTGAATATTGCCTGATAAAGTAGCGTTTATGAGAGCCACAGCTTTTGTGTACAGCTGTTACGAGGGAAACCGTTCCAAAAGAATCAATTTGCATGTTCAATAAGGCCGTTTTCTACTTTTGAACTGTCTTATATAACTCAATTCGTTTAATTTCCCTAATAAAAAGACTGTTCAGCTCTTAATATTTTGTATTTATATTCTCCCCTTTAAATTCGTTCCGCCCCACAAAAAAAATCCTAATTTAACACACCTCTGCCTGTTTTTTTTTGCATTTCCATTTGCTCAAGTAGCAAAAGAAAAACCCACGATAGTGTTTTCACGACTTATAAAAAGAAGAGGAAAAAAATAGAGAGATACGGATAACGGTCAGAAGACAGAGCTATGTCAAATTTACCATCACTTGAGTCCATAGACTCCATAGACGCTGTATTAGAAACACCCTCGCATTAGCTTAACTAGTTTTTGTATTCTGATTCAAAGGTAATATAATACAGAGTACAGTGTTGTAAATGTACATGCATCATTTTTATTCCATAGTAAGGGCAATTCATATAATACATTTAAACTGAGCTACTTTAAGACCATCTCCGAACTTTCTACCACTACTCTGCTGTTCTTCCCGAATACCTTGATTGACAGATGTCTCGTCCAATCAGCGGTGAGTAATCGATTCTCAAACCAATGGCG